GAAAGCAAGTAAGAGAGATAGTATAGCCATGCAGATGTAAAATAAAATAACAAGAGTGTGAATGAACATCCACAGGTTGGCCAGAGAGGTGATGTAGGCACCAACCCTGGAGACATTCAAGGTCAGGCTGGATGGGGCTCTGAGCAACCCGATCTAGTTGCAGATGTCCCTGCTCACCTTCCAGCCCAAACCACTGTACAATTCCATGATTTTAATTGTATTCATTCTTCCAGGAGTTTTCCCAAAAAAGACACTTCTACCTGTTCCCTATCGAAGTTCCCTGCCCACTCAAGGTTCTGCTGCCCTGTCCTCTGTTTGTTTTCCTCTTATGTCTCTACCAATCATGTCACACACCTCTCCTTGCTTTTGCCACACTTTCTTGGGTCTTCTTCCTTCTCCTTTCCTTGTACTTAACTTTGAGGTCATCTCACTCATAAAAGCGTAATTAATTAGCACTGCTGTAATGAAAACTCATCTGTCACCCTCCCTCCGAGATGAAAAAAATCTGAACTACTTGTTCACCTACCTCTACCCTCCCATTCTCCCTTTGCAGAGGGCTGCTTCCCCCGTTACGTCTGCAAACCAGCACCTCTGCTGCCTCTCCCCATCATCCCTTGAGGCAGAGCCCCCCTTGCCAGTCAGTACCGCTCAGTGGAAACACAAGGCATGACTGAGAATAAATGGCATCTTTGTTCTCTGGGAATCACTGAGAAGAAATCATAAATCACCACTATTTTTCTTCTATTATCACACTTCTTCAATCTACCTATTAGTCTATTACACAGGCTGTTTATGCGCATGACAGGTAATATGACAATGTGGCAAGAATGTTTTCTTGGATGTACTTTTGACTGGGTGCCTGTTTCCTAATTCAAAAGCATCCTGTTTAATTCCTGTATTTTACAGAAACCTGTATTTAGAGCCATTTACCAATAGAACACACGCACCCTCCCCACCTACAGCAAGTGTGACCCATGATTTAAGAAGGAAGGTAAAAGCCAATTTGTAAGGGCCTATAACTGCACAGTGGAATACTGTTAGGGAAAATCACCTTTATCAGAGAAGCCTGTTATTCATTGAACTTCAGAAATTTTAAATTATCTTGAAAAATCGTTGGGGGAGCTCTAACAGCCTGCAGATTATCTGGCAGCTAGAAAAAAGCCCTGCAGTAAAAATCCTTAAAAGATCAATCTGGTTAGCTAACTGAACAAAGATTAAGTGACTTAATTACAGCATGTAATACCTTTTTAAAAGATGAGAAGCGTGAGGAGCAAAAGCTTCTCAATTTGGTCATCACTGAAGCAAAGCTGAAGCCAGATACATTCAACTCAGAAAACATACACAAGAACAAAATAACAAGGGCTGGGCAGTTTCTGGGAAGAGTTACTTCCAGCTTATGCATCTCCTGGTATATTTGAATCAAACAATTATAAGAATGTACTTTAGCCAACTACAAATTACTGGGGCTAGAAAAGAGCAGTAGAGAAAATGTGACGGTCTGCAAGTGGTCAGACTAGACAGCCTGATGGACCTTCTGGTCTTCGATGCTGAGAATCTCTGGTTACTTATCCTTGAAGCTAATCTCTTCCAAAAAACAACAAACCAAACCAAAACCAACAACTGAAATCATACCCAACTGTGTAACTATAAAGCAATCTTTTTTTCTGATCCCTGTTTATGGTACACTGGTCTGCACCACTTCCAGGAGCAACATTTTGTTTGTGGTCTAGTATCTCACAAGCCACGGTGATGAGAAGGAAACTTCACATTTGTAAAGGCTAGTAAGGTTCTATCTCTTCTGTACCTGCAAGCTTTCCAAAAGATGTACCACTTCTAGCACTGGCAAGCCCAGATGACTATGAGACCCAAAGTCTGCATCTTCTCCAGTTAGGGAAAAAACACATTAGATATTTGCAGAGGTTTCTTAAATATATTAATTATATAAATATATAGATATGGGTATGGGTATGGATGTAGATGTAGATATTTCCCATCATCTGAACTGTTGCACTTGTGGTATTCAGACACTTTGGCTTTCTTTACTGAGCAATAAAACCATCATCAATGTTTCCTGTAAAAGCTCTCTCAAACATTTCTAAAATTCTTTTGAATAAAATACATTAGGAGGGGATGTCTTAAAAACATATTATCGGTACTTCACGGCAGCAGTCTCCTGTAGAACTCCTAAATGACATCACCCCATCACTGCAAATCCATACCAATAAAGCATCTGCAGCACATGGCATACCGCACTGCAGCTGCATAACCATTCACCACTTCAATTAAAAAAAAAAAAATGACAAGACACCAAGCAGCGAAGATGCAAACACAGAGCTACTTAACTCATGATCGTGATCTTCCAGAAGATATGAATTCAACATACCTGGCAGAAAACAGGTTTATACTTTAGTGAGAAAGCTTGGATCAGTTCTTTTGAATCAGCAGAGTCTTTCTGAAGTTTATCTACACAAAGGCACTTGGAGTGAATAAGATTTGTCGTGAGCTGGTTCACATCCATCCACTGTGCAAACAGAGTGCTCTCCTCTAACTGTTTCCCCAGAAGTTCCAGTCTCGCCTTTGCAGCAGAGTCCTTCTTCATATATTCCACGAAGCCATAGCCCTTGGAATGGCCAGTAACTTCGTTATAGACCAAAAAACACCTCTCGACGTTGCCATACGCGCGCACGAGTTCTTCAAACTCTTCCAAAGTAAATGACGTGGGCAAATTAGTAACACAGAGCAAAGCATCTGTTGGTTGGAGTTGCACAGATATTTCTTTCCCCCGAAGCGAATACTGGTGAAATTTCCGAATTGCGTTTTGAGCCTGCTCTCCATTTAACAGAGTAACGAATGCTGTAAGAGGCCAAAACAAGTTACATCACCTACAACAGCTCCTCTCCAGCCACAGAGGTAATTACTATACCTCTACTTCCCCCCTCCAAAAAAGACCCCACCAGTGTAAGTCACAGAAAAACAAGAGTTTGGGATTTACCCTGAGGATGCAATAGACAGAGGGATATTCTGTTATGTATATTTTAAAACTTGGCATTATCAATTGGACATCATGAGGAATTAACTAAGGAGTGACTATAGAAACACAGATACACACGTAACCTCACCCCTTGTAACACACCAAAATCTTACGTTTGAGAAATAAAAAGCAGTGAGATTTTATACTGAAGTCAACACAGTCCTGATTCCATTGAATTTCACTGAAGGCAACATTCATACACTCTCACTTGAGGGTTACTGGATCTTTTTTGGGGTTTCAGTCCGTAAAGCATTTCACACAATCACGGAATCACAGACCGGATGAGGTCAGCAGGGACCTCTGGAAGTCACCTTGTCCAACACCCTGCTCACACAGGGCCACCCAGAGCCGACTGTGAGGGCCATGTCCAGATGGGTTCCTAATATCTCTGGGGCAACCTGTAACAATCTTGATGACCCTAAGAGTGAAAACCTGTTTCCTGACAGTCAAGGGAAACTCGCACAGTTCAGCTGGCACCTCTGCCCTCACGTCCTGTGAATTAAGAAGGATGTAGTACTCTGCAGTGAACCAAGCACATGGAAGCTAATTCATAGGGTTTCTGCCAGTGACCAACTGAAGTGCACAGCACGGGGCAGTCCTGGGCAAAGACTTTGGTTCATTTCAGAGAAAGACAAGCACAAGTGTCCCACTTCACCCAGAGATACCCTCAGCACTGCCAGCCACTCGCGGATGCAGGGTCAGGTGCTAAGAACTGTCGTCAATGCCAAAGGTATGAGAGATCACGTTCAGAAAACTCAACAAGTCTGCATCTTCCAGAAGAGCCTTCAAACTCACAAATCCCAGCAGCAAGTACCACTCAAATCTTTAAAACAGGGCAGCAGGTAGGACACACTCGAAGGTGTCCGCAGGCACCGACACCAAGAGCTCCGAGACACCCACCGGCTCTGTGGCACAGGCAACCAGAAGGAGCTGAAGCTGATGACTTCATACAGAGCAGATGTTGTTCCTCACTGGAAGATTTTCTTACCTGTTCTTTTATTTCTGTCCACATAGCAATACTTGATTTCATAATCTTTAAATAAATCATGGATTTCCTAAAAGAGAAAAGTAACATCAGAGAAACAATTTACCACTTATTTTAGAAAACAAAATAATTTTCAATAAAATGAAAATCTCACCATAGAAACAATGGGAAATATTTGTTTTTAATAAAGCTGGTTATACTACTGCAGTGATGTTTTTATCTCTTATAAAAAATTGGCTTACTGAAGTTGATTAATTTACTTTTCATTATATAAGGGGACATAAGCACCATGGGGTGTCCTGTTGACTGTCTTTTGATAAAAGACAAATAACATCACAGTTCATTAAATAGCAAAACCCTCACAATTTCTCCGAAGCACAGCTACCATGGTTAGGATACCACATGGACAAGAAATACCAGCAACATCACGTCATGCAATTTACTGAGGGCAGGCAATGCTGTTCAAAATGCAACAGTTGCTTTCGTTTCCTGTAACTGTGGAAGTTCACTTTAACAGATATTCAATCTTTCAATAATGAATATTCTTTCAAGCGGCAGAAAATTGCGCCCAGAATACCCCCTGGAAAGTATCCTCTATCAATTACTGCACAGATGCTCCATGAAGAATCTGTCCCAAGAGCATTATCTGCTCCCATTAATTAATGAGGAGAGAGTAGGGGTGGGCTAGGAGCAAGCAAAGAGCTGTGTACTGGTTTCCTATAGCTATTTCCCAGCAAGAGCAAAAAAAAAACCAACAAACCACAATATATTGTCAGTTCAGAGACAGGAATGCAGAGATGAACATTTACCATGCCCAAGGAGAAACCACAAAAAGTACCGTGGGTACATGTATTCTGTTCAGTGGATAAGTTCCACACACGACAGCGAAAGGCCACCTGAGTAAGCAAAATAAATCAACAGACTTTGCCCGAAAGTTTAATTGCAGAGAATTTCCAGTCACCCAGTCTACCTGCCAGTTCACTAATTCAATATATGCAGCCCAAAGGTTAATTGAGTTCTCCAGGACTGGTATCAGATGCATACCTTTTAGTCAAGCAAGCACCAATCTCTAGTTTCATGAGTTAACAGCTGTCAAATAGAGCATAAATAAAATATGGCAGTGTTTCACAAGCTACCAGCCATTCCCTAGTCAGATGTGATAAGGATGTGGTTTCTGAAAGGCAAAATACGCCAGGCACAACTCAAAGACTCACATCAGGCAGGTGACTTGATTGCAAACATCTCGTTAACGAGAATTAGGTAGTGGTTCCTTCTCAGTCGTAAGAGACCGAGAAGACAGTTTCCGCACAGTTTTGTACAGCTCAGCTGTGCTGTGGCACTGAAAACTCTAAAGTTATTTCTGTCCTGCTCAGAAAAAGGAGATAAATTTACCTTTTCTATTTTCTGTATTATTTTTCAAGAATAACACTGCAAGTTTTATATGATGATTAAGTGGCAGGAAATACTATTTCAAACAGCTCTGAACGCTCTTTTGAAAGTCATCTGTGAGTCAGATGATTCCACATGATTCCCCATTAACTGACTGAAACAGTAATTGAGATGGAAAATAGCTTGTATTGAACATAACTTTGTGGGATAAATATGACTGTTCGTGCAAAAAAACCAAAATGGTGAAAGGATGAGGAAAATTGAAAATGGAAACCTAATTTAAGAAAAGCAATTTTAACACTGATTTCCACAGGTTGCTGCAAACACTGCCAGGTTTGTGCAACAGGCTCTTCCAGAAAGGCGCTTGTTCTTGTGCTCCCATGGCAGGGCTGAGACCTTAACCCGTGCAATTGGGTTTGTGCAGTATGTCAGTGAAAGCTTTTTTTACATAAAGACAAATTTACCGGAGTAAAACACATCATGACAACTCTTCAGCAAACGTACACTCCTTCAAATTAAACAGATATGCAAATATCTCTGTACACTGGGCTAAGATTCTTCACATTTTCAGGATTAGTAAGCTGGTTTTCGAACTCAGGCAGTTCTCTAAACTTTACCTTCAACATCTTCCAACACTTTGGTCTGTTTAGAAAAGAATGACCCCTACCACCACCGTAGTGTTGTTAACAGTTTCTATTCCTGACAGCTCGGAGCAGAACTGCCAGGAAAGCAACAAGAACATTTTACCCACTGTTCCTAACCAGCCGCAGCTCTGCACCACCAAACCTCGTGCACCACCAGCACTGAGCATAGCGGGTCCCTCCGGTGTCGGCAGTCGCCCGGTATTTGAGCCAGGAAGGAGTGTTTACTCTGGGAGGAGAAACAGGTCATCCAAGTCAGGTATATCATCCTCTGGTGCAACTCTACTGACTTGCAAGGAATGTAAGCAGAAGGCTGTTTCCGTGAGCGCAGCAGAAACAAACAGCCGTGGTTCGCTCCCCGTTCGCAGCCCGATGGCTCATGCCCGGCCCCCACACCCCGGCCTGGCTATGCCAAGACCCACGAAGGAGTTGGCAGCCCTGGCCCACGCTTTGCGGCTGGAAAAATCTCTCGCCCTCCCCGAGTCAGCCTTGCCGAGGCATTGCCTGCGCTCACAATACCCACATCCAAAGCAACGCTGGTCAAGCCTGGCTGCTATTAATACGTTTTCCAGTTACAGAACTGCTTCTCCTAAAGGCTTTTTTTCTTTTGTGTAAATGAATGAATCTACTAGCATAAACAAAACCTGACTGATAATTACCATAAAAATCACATTAAGTCTAAACAAAACGGCAACACCCACTAACATGCTGAAGGCCTCGCCGCCTCGAGCGTCACGCACCCAACGAGATTATAACATTTTGACAACGAAAACTGTAAGTGGTTATAAAGCTATCCGCCAGACACTGAGCAGTGAGGGAGCCCAGGAAGTTTCCAACATAAACACTGTTTATAGTGGTGCCTCTCTCGGCCTTGCCGTACTGCACTCCGAGGACTGACTTGCAGTTGTCTCCTGAACCAGACATAGAACTTGGCACCAACTCTCGGGCACCGAGGTGTGTTTGTACCTGAGCAAAATCTGTTTCTGGCGGATGCACCTCTGCTCAAAGCAAGGGTGACACGTCCTGCAGAAACACAGAGCAGGAGAGAAAATAGAGGAGGGAGCTTGCTCAGAGGTACGGCAGTTGCATAAACACGTGTGCCATGCCAGGGGCTCTAACAGAATATCTTGGAACAGAAATGTAACCAGTAACGCGTAGCTACTACACAGCCCCTTAAACCTTCTTAAAAGCACACTCTGACAGCTAGTTCATCTTATCATCAGTAAATATTAAAAAAGAATGAGTTCATTCTTCAAAATTAGCAGGAAAAGCAACACCAAATATATTAAAGGGGCTTTAAGATAAACCACTAGTAAATGCAGGCTGAATATACTTTTCAAAATGTATTATTTACTACTGTGAAGAGATGTGGTCTTGAAGTACTTCAGTTCTTGGCCTGTCCTGTCTTGTCTCGTGTGAAAAAAACTGGCAACGTGAGGTTTTACTACATACTATCAATCTGAAATTTGCACCTCTCAAACGGAAAGAATGCCTTCCTTAGAGAAGATCTGTCTTTGTGCTTTTATTACCTTTTTTTTTTTAAAATGCAAACAAGAAAGGGAGTCATTAACGGGCACATTTGCCCTATTCATCAAATCCATAAAGCTCAATGTATGACTTCAAATAAAACCAGCTTTCCATACCCAGAATCTCACAGCACAAGAAAAGAATTCTGCAAGAAATACTCAGTCATCACCTGGAACAATATACTGTGTATACAGAGCCTACAGCACCCAAAACCCAAGTACTTCTCCCTTTGTAGATGTAACGCTGAATTGCGTTATGCTGGCAACAAAAATATTTAACAATTATAATCGTGCCTGGCCAGATTTCGACAGCAAGCTTTAGTGGTGGTTCCAATATAAACACTGCACAAGCCTGGTCTATAACTTGGCTCCCAATAAGCAGCTGAAGGCCTCAACTACACACGCACAGTCTTGAAAAGAGAATCACTGAAGTACTTGAACTAATTAACGTGCGTTTGGCTAACCAATAAGTTTAAAATCATCTCATAACTAAAAAAAAGACTTTGTCTTCATTTGTGCAGGCTTCGCATTTGCAAATGATACAGTGGGGTTTTCATTTAAGATCTACTCGTCTAAAAATTGAATTAGAATCCATGACGCAACACATGGACTTCACTGCAGATATTAAGAAAAATGTGAAACATTAAAATAAATAAAAAAATTAGTATGCAAGAGAACATCAACACTGTTTAAAGCAATAATCTTAGGGAAAGTCCCAGAGCCTTTGCTGTAAAGGCAGGAGTACAGAGCACCAGGAAGAGGGTTTGATAACAAAGCACAAGGACTGATGCAAAGTGCAATTTCAAACATCTCCTGCCTATTAATGACCCCAGAGGTAAGAGGTCCTCAGATTTCCACCAAGTGGGCATTGATGGCCCAGCAAATCCTCCCTGGCTCCGATCAACATTTCAAATGAAGGTCCACCAGAACATATACTACGTTCTCTGACAAATTATCAATTTTTGTGTTCAATGTTGTGTTCAAGAACATTCTTAGATGAGCAATGGCTGTAGGACCAATTCTCAGACATGCAGCAGATACCTACTTGCCCAGGCATCAAGGAGCAGTGAGCACTGAGGTGTGCCCTAGAGCTTTTATTCAGCACATTTCTTCTTCACTTTCCCGAACAGTCACAAACCATGAAGACTGAACTAAAATCAAGCCCGTAATTCTAGGCCACAAACTGCCTTCTGGGCAAACATTTTTGTTTGAGAACTGATTCTCACTTTCGTAAGAACGCATGATATTTAGTGAAGAAAATGTTAAGACAGAAGAAAAACAACTTCTCAATAGGCTTATGATGGCCACGGAATGAAAAATAGATTTCTCTGATCTTCCAGAGCGTGTTGATAACAGGAACCCTATGGGACTGGAAATTAATTTCATCATCCTGGGTATGTTGGGCAGTATGCAAGCTAAATGGAAGATGAAAAAGACACAGAAGAGGTAACATGAGAGAGCAAGAGCACAAAGCAAAAGAAAAGCAATAAAGAAAATCAAAAAGCACATACATCCTAAGGCATGAGAGCTACTCACAATCCAGCAAGTATGCCTTTCATGTTCAGTCAGTGTGACGAAGGACTAACTAAAACACAAAGGCTCCTTCTACTTAGGCGTCTGGCATACGACAGATGGGGAGAGAGTACTTCCTCAAATCATCACAGTTCATTAAAGGCTTTCGATCAAAAAGGAAGAAGGAAAAATTGTGGGTAATCCAGGGAGAAAGAAGGAAGAGAGAAAAGGAAAAAAAAAAAAAAAGAACCCAACCCCACCAGAAATAGCATTGTGCAAAGTAGCGATTTGTCTTTTGATCAGGAACAGACACTGGTGAAAAAAACTGGATGGGTACATGAAGTCCCAAAGCACAAAATAAATCCCTATCCTGGGTGGACTGCACCAGTTTCGTATCAAAACCTAAATGTTTCATCTTTCTTTAGATTCTGTCATGCCAAAGAAGAACTACAGGGTATTAAAATAATTAATCAGCCCTACTTCACTTCACATGTCCTACATTAAAGTAGAACATTCCCTCTCTACGATTTATTTTCTAGCCTCAGATGTTAGAGAAGAAAAGCAGAAATGTGCCGGTAATATGGTGGCATTTAAAGATAATCAAGTCCAGAAAAGGCTGGTTGAAAATAAGTGCATCTTCCACAGCACCAGCTCCTTGGCCACAAAGAGGGGAATCAAAATGTGAACAGTCCTCGCTGGTCAGCTAATCTTAGCAGTCAAGAGGAGATTTTACTACACATCTCAATTACGATTAGGAAGAAAGGCAACCCAGGGTCTATTTTTCTTCAACAGCAACTCCACGGCACACAAACCGGTATGCCAGGGCACCAGACTGCTCATCACGTCACAGCCACTGCTCCCATGGAAGTTAATCAGACATAACTACGGAACCACTAACAGTGAAAAAACAATGACCTGGGGGAAATAAAAAACAATTCTTCTGATCCACCTGAGTAATTACAAAAACCAAAACAAACAGAAGCTGACTTGCCATACAATAGTCCAGCAAGATAAACTCTCCCATTTAGCGAGGTACAGCTTTGCTCACACTCTGGTCATCCTGAAGCTCTTGGCATCTCCTTACCAGTAAAGGAAAGAAGAAGTTATCGCTTCTTTCCCTCCCTCTGCTCAGAGCTGTCTTCCTGCCTCCAGAGCCCTTGGAGCAGTTTCATAATAGAATTATAGAATCACAGAATCTTCTGAGTTGGAAAAGACCTTAAGGATCATCGAGTCCGATTGTTAACCGAGCACCGCCAAGCCCACCACTGACCCATGTTCGTGAGCACCACATCTCCACGGCTTTTTAATCCCTCCAAGGATGGGGACTCCATCCCTGCCCTGGGCAGCCTGTTCCAGGGCTTGACAACCCTCTGGGTGAAGAAAAATCTTTTCTAACCCCCCCTGATGCAATTTGAGCCCATTTTCTCTGGTTCTAACACATGTTACTTGGGAGAAGAGACCAACCTCCACCTCGCTACAACCTCCCTCCAGGTACTTGCAGAAAGCCATAAGATCTCTCCTTGCCCTCCTTTTCTCCAGGCTGAACAGCTCCAAGGACCTTCAATTTGTGATGCATGCCTTTGAACACTGCATTTTGAACATCGCACGTGATCGTGTTCCTTGCTATTGAAACACATTAGCCGATTCATCAGAGATGATGGTTCAGGGAGGTGCATTCACAACAAGGCAACTGCAAAAGACATCCAACCAAGATGCCAAGATTGCCAAGCACTGATCAAAACGAGTACAACCCAGCTTACCTTTAAGTCTCTTGGCAAAGATTTTTGCTGCAAACGTGGAAAAAAAGTCCTGGGATGCATTAAGAAAAGTGTGTCCAGCAGGTCTAGGGAAGTTCTCCTCCCCCTCTACTCTGCCCTGGTGAGACCACACCTGGAGTCCAAGGGAGAGCTACGAGGGTGACCAAGGGACTCGAACATCTGCTGTGAA